TGTTTTGTTTCTACCACCACCTGTGAAAGACAGAGAAGCCATGGGGACTAGAGACTCTTAAACTCATGTCTGGGGCCCAGGGCAGGGTCCCCTCTAGGGTGGGAGATGGTCAGAGGTGGCAGCAAGAAGACCACTTAGAGATAAGTTCCTTGAGTTCTGCCAACACTGTCCTGACAGTCACTACCTGCCCCTTTAATGTAGAAATCAGCCTCTGCTGCCTGTTCCATTGGTTATAGGGTCCACAAGTATAGGTAGGAGTTGGAGGGACTTGGAGGCTGATCCTGGCTCTAGTAGAAAAGAACTTGCCTATCAATGCAGAAGGCGCAAGAGATGAGCGTTTGATCCCTGGGTCAAGAAGATCCTCTGGAGGAGGACATGGCCATCTATGTCAGTATTCTTGCCTGGAGAACCCCATGGACAGACGAGCCTGGTGAGGTCACGAAGAGTATTTAATGTCTTTTGTTGGCTGCCCCCAAATAGTCATTTTAAAGGAAACTCCTCATAATTGTGCATTATGTTTTGGATGGGGAGTTAGAAAGATAAACCTGCCAAGATCTCTAGGTAGCCTGGTGTCCCCCAAAGTCCTGGAAACCCCAGGGAATTGCAAAGAGTTGGACAAGACTGAGTGCACACACATACCAGGAAAAAGAGATGAGCACAAGGTGGCAGTTACACACACAAGCCTTATCTTGTGATGCTTTGACAGCAGGGAAGGTCCCTCAGGCAGAAGCTAGTCTGATCCCTCCTCAGTAGGGCAGGGGAACTCAGGAGGGAGGGAGCGTACATGTCTAGGTGGGGACAGAGAGGCTCTGCATCAGAGAATTCTGAAAGCCAGTGGAGATCTAGGGCATTATGTTAATAACTATTGATACCAGCCCTATCTTATTGAGAGGTAAGGGCTGTCAGGTGAGGTTTCATAGGATTCACAAAGAGGTAGGTTTTAAATTAATAAAATTTCGCTTATTGGGGCTATTTTTTAAAAATAATTGGATATGTAAGATAGAGTTTCAGTTTAGGAAGGTGAAAATTCGGGAAATGGATGATGGTGAGAGTTGCACAACGTGAATGTACTTAGGGCTACTGAGCTGTACAGTTAAATATGGTTAAAGTATATTTTATGTTATGCAACTTCTACCACAGAGGAAAATTTTTTAAAAATTGAGTCTGGGAGTGAGCTTTGTGAGGCTCTAATGTGTGTCTCACAGTGCAGTGAGGAAATAAACATTCTAGAGGCTGGTACACAGAGGCCAAACCAGTCAATACTAAAGGAACTCAACCCTGAATATTCATTGGAAGGTCTGTTGCTGAAGCTGAAGCTCCAATACTTTGGCCACCTGATGCAAAGAACTGACTTATTGGAAAAGACCCTGATGCTGGGAAAGACTGAGGGCAGGAGGAGAAGGGGACGACAGAGGATGAGAGGGTTGGATGGCATCACTGACTCGATGGACATGAGCGTGAGCACGCTTCAAGAAACAGCAGAGGACAGAGGAGCCTGGCGTGCTGCAGTCCCTGGGGTCGCAGAGCTGGACGCGACTAAGCGACTGAACAACAGAAACACACAGAGACCTTCTTTGGTTCATTTCATGCAACACTAGGGTACCAGCAGGACAAGGCGAAAGCCTGCTAGGTGGGGGCTGATGGGAACAGGTGTACAGACTGGCCAGCCTCTCTCAATCAATCACTTCCCCATCTCTACCTCCAAGCCTCCAGTGCTGATGTCAACCCAAGGGATTGGCCTTTCCAGGGCTGCTTCTCCACAACCCAAGGGGCAGACTGAGTCATGGTGGCAGGAGGAGTGATACTCATGGCCTATGATATGAGAGTCTCCACTCTGAACTTAGTCTTGACTCTGCCCAAATTACTCGGGTCCACACACCCACGGACCTGGACTTTGACATTTGTAACAACATGCTATTTGTAAGAGGCACTTGAGAAAAACAATACATGGAGCTTGAAAATGAAAGGATGGAAAAAGATAAGCCAGTTAAATACAGGAGAAAGCAAAGATATAAAATACAATATCTGATGAAAAAGAATTTAAAGAAAATAGTGTCATAAGGAGCAAAGAAGGATGTTTTATAAGTTGTATATTAGTATAAGGCACTATAGAATAAAAAGGTATATCTCTCACAACCATATATGCATCAAACAATACAACCTCAAAATCTGAGATGCAGCAAATGACAGAATGGCAGAGAAACCAGCAAACCAACAGTAATGGAGAGTTTAACACACCTGGTCCTGAAAATGATAGACACAGTAGGCAAAAATTTTAAATTAAAAATAAAAAACACAGATACCAAAGACCTTCACAGTATCATTAATAAACTTGAACTACTAGATGTATGCAGAATGCAGTACCAAATAAATAATGCATGTTCTTTTCAACCAAATCTAAGACACAAAAATATGTATGTATTTATCATAAAAGAAGTTATAAGAAATTGATGTTTACATACATTAATTTCTTTTTGCCTTTTCATACTGTTCGATACTTTTGAACTGTGGTGTTGGAGAAGACTCTTGAGAGTCCCTTGGACTGCAAGGAGATCCAACCAGTCCATCCTAAAGGAAATCAGTCCTGTATATTCATTGGAAGGACTGATGCTGAAGCTGAAACTCCAATACTTTGGCCACCTGATGGGAAGAACTGACTCTTTTGAAAAGACCCTGATGCTGGAAAAGATTGAAGGCAGGAGGAAAAGGGGACAACAGAGGATGAGATGGTTGGGTGGCATCACTGACTCAATGGACATGAGTTTGAGTAAACTCCGGGAGTTGGTGATGGACAGAGAGGCCTGGCGTGCTACAGTCCATGGGATCGCAAAGGTTGGGCATGACTGAGCGACTGAACTGAACTGAATTTAATGTTTATATAATGTGTTCTCTAACCACAGTGCGACACAATTACAAAACAACAATTAAAGTCTAGAATTAAGAAGGAAGTTATAAATTAAGACATGTTAAACTAAATGAGGGTAGAAACACTTCATCTCAAAAATATGAGACAGACCTAAAATAGTATCTTAAGAGACATTCATCACTTTAAATACCATTATCAGGAAATAAGGTTTCGCTGGTGGCTCAGTCAGTAAGTAATTCCCCTGCAATGCAGGAGATGTGGTTCGATCCCTGGGTCAGGAAAACCTCCAGGAGAAGGGAATGGAAACCTACTCCAGTATTTTTACCTGGAGAATTCCATGGACAGAGAATCCTGGAGGGCTATAGTCTGAGAGGTGGCAAAGAGTCAGACACAATTGAACAACTAACTCACGACCACCACCATCAGGAAATGAGCAAGTTAAAAGTAAATTGATGAAGTTATCAACTCAAGAAGTTGAAAAAAGACCAACAGAACAAACTGTAACAATAATAGAAGGAAATAATGCAGGTAGTGGCAGACATCAATCAAATGGAGAATAAAACAACAGAGAAGATTCACAAAACCAAAAGCTGATTCTTCTAAAAGATTATTAAAATAAACAATCTCCAGCAAGGTTGATCAAGCAACAAAGAAAGAAAGAAAGAAAAGATGCAAATAGTCAAAATAAAGAATGAAAAATAACTACAGTCTAACAGGTTTAAAAATAATAAAAAGCATATTGTAAGCATATACACAATTTAATATGTGGGAACCTGGGTGGATATGTTCCCAGAGGTGGGGGGAGGCAAGAAAATGTCAAATTGGAGCAAGAAGAAATAAAACATGAATCGAGTGATAATATTAAATACACTGAAATTGTCTTTAAAGACCTTGAAAATTGCTCAGTCGTGTCTGACTCTTTGTGACCCCATAGACTATAGCCTGCCAGGCTGCTCTGTCCATAGAATTCTCCAGGCATGAATATTGGAGTGGATTGCCATTCCCTTCTCCAGGAAATCTTCCTGACCCAGGGACTGAACCCAGGTCTCCTGCATTGCAGGTAGATTCTTTACCATCTGAACCTCTCCCCTAAACCCAGCTCCAGATAGTTCCTCTGATGAGTTCTACCTAATTTTCAAGAAATAGTTAATTTCTATTTCTATTGACACAATGAGTTAATAGAATCGAACCAGGGTCTCCCGCGTTGCAGGCAGATTCTTTACCAGCTGAGTCACAAGGAAAGCCCAAGAATACTGGAGTGGGTAGCCTATCCCTTCTCCTGACCCAGGAATTGAACCAGGGTCTCCTGAATTGCCGGTGGATTCTTTACCAACTGAGCTATCAGGGAAGCCAGTTAATAGAAATAGAAATAGTTAATTTCTATTTCCATTTATACAACTGTTACACAAGTTGTTCCAGAAAGCAAAAGAAGGAGTAAGATGCCACTGATTTTAAAAGTCATCTGTACTCTTGATTCCAAAATCAGATAAGGATGACACCAGAAGAGAAAATCACAGGCTCACCTCAGTTACAAATATAGGAGCAAAATCTGCAACTAAAATGTTCGGTGCCCAAATCAACAGTGCATTAAAACTAATTCATCAAACTGAACTGACTCTAGATAAAAGTCTGCTTGAATAAAGAAAATAAATTTGTGTTAAAGGTTTTTAAATGGCAGAACTCTTATGTAATGGAATATTCTTGATCTTCTCAGTTTAAGAAAGTAAACTGATTTGAGACTATAATTTACAGCACTGTGGTAATTAATTTAATGGACTGCTGTCCACAGACCTATACATTTACATATGTCCTTAAAGAAATAATTCTAGAAATTAAGTAGGTATATATCGGATCTTTTTACTGTAACCTAAAAATCTGATTTTCTCTATATTTTTCTTTATTTCAACTTTGAAGATAGTCAACATAAATAAAATTGTAATTTAAAAAAAAAGAATCAGTGTAATTCACCACATTCATAGACACAGGAGGAAATCACACAGCTATCTCCAAACATGCTGAAAAAGTATTTGGTAAGATTTGACAGCTCACAAACCTGGAAGAGAAAGGAATGTCCTTACTGGATAAACATAAACATTGTTCAAATCTATCTATGGCAAGTAGGTTTGGTGGAAACCTTTGACTTCATTCTCTTTACGTTTGTGAACAACACAAAAATGTATATTATTAATGCAAACCCTTACTATAAAACTGGAAGTCCTGGCCCAAACTGAAGAAAGAGCCATAGGAGATTAATTAGTAGACAAAACACAAAGCTCTCATTCTTTGAGGGCGATGTCATCTTGTACCTAGAAAACAAAAGCAACAGATTAACAGATTAAATATTAGAATTAATAAGCTAGTTCTACAGATCTTCCATATTAGAGATTAGTTTAAAAATCAATGTAATTTATCAACATTAGCAATAATCAGCTAAAACATAAAAAAAGAAACCATTCACAAAAGCATCAAAACATTTATATATAAGTAGAGTTTAAGTTAACCAAGAACACTCTAAATATCTCTAAGAACCAAAAGTTAATAAAGGTCATAGAAAATAATCTAGATAAATGGAGAGAAATTCCATACTCTTTCACAGGATAATTTAACTCTATAAAGATAACATTTTTCACCAAATTTATCTACTGAAAGCAACACCAACCAAATTTGCAAGTGGATTTTTCCCAACAAAAAAAATTACTAAAAATATAGATTTGAGAATAAAATTATATGAAAATAGCCAAGCCACCTCTGAAGTTTTCTGAATCAAAAACAAATCCTACAGGTTATTTTCCTGTTTTGAAGCACTTCGGGTCACCCTTGTCACCTTTAGAAACTGAATATAAAAGGAGGCTCTTGCCCTGGCACATTTGAATACATGTTACAAAGTCAAAATAATAATTTTTAAACAACCAGTCTGGCATTTGTTCAAGAACAGACAAACAGGTTAACAGAAAATATCAGAGAGCTGAGAGGGACATCCTCCTGGAAGCGTCCTCACTGTGACACCCCCCCCCCAAAACTGGAGCCCCAGATTCATGCCTTCTTTCTCCCCAGCCCTGCTCCCCACCGCTTTTTGAACATGACCATTTGCCTTTTCTCTGACCACTCCCCTCTCTGAGAATGCTTGAGTTTAGTGCCAAAGTGATCCCATGGATCACTTAGAATCTCATGATCGTTTAAAGGACCAAATTGTTTGAAGATCAATCAAAAGCAGAGGAGACAGGAAGGCGCTCTGGCCTTTACCCACAATCTTTCCGCCACTTTTATTTGCTGTCATTCAATCACACTTGGCTTTTCTGCTGGATATTTTTTCTCAGTCATTGCTGTTATACTGAGGACATTTGCAGAAAGAGGAAAGGAGCTTTAACTAGCATCTTAAGTCTCATACTGATCAACTGTTGTTGGAAGGAATTCCCTTAACTCACTGGCACTCCCCATCTCCCTCCTCCTAGACTAGGTGCTGTATTAGTTGCCCAGGGCTGTAAAATGGGGTACCACACACTGGGTGGCTTAAAACAATGGACATTTATTCTCCTTCAGTTCTGGAGGCTGCAAGTCTGAAATCGAGGTCTTAGCAGAGCCAAACTCTCGCTGAGGGCTCTAGGAGAGAATCTGCTCCAGGTCTCTGCTAACCTCTGGTGTTGCTGGCGGTCTTTGGCATTGTTGCCTTGTAGTTGCATCACTCCAATTTCTTCCTCAGCTGTTACAGGGCATTGTCCCTTTGTGTCTGTCTCTCCTCTTCTGGATGCACCAGTCATATTGGATTAATGGCCATCCCTACACCAATAAGAGGGTTTCCCAGGTGGCGCTAGTGGTAAAGAACCCACCAGCCAATGTGGGTGACCTGGGTTCCATCCTTGGGTTGGGAAGATCCCCTGGAGAAGGGCATGGCAACCCACTCCAGTATTCTTGCCTAGATAATCCCATGGACAGAGAAGCCTGGCAGGCTACAGTCTATAGCACTGCAAAGAGTCAGACACAACTGAAGTGACTTAGCTAATTATATCTGCAATAACCCTATTTCCAAATAAGGTAACATTGTGAGGTTCTGAGAAGGACATGAATTAGGGGGCAGCACTGCTTAGCCTAGTACAGGTAGACTTGGTTGGCTTAATTTTAGGAAAGACTGACTTTGGATTTTTCTAAATTACTAGGAACACATCTAATTCTTACATGCTTCAGTTGCTTTCCCCATGAAACCATGGTGCGTGACACTAAATCAACAGACATTTGTGCATGTGGACATTCAATAAACATTTACTAGGCATGTGCCACATGGCAGGGACTGTGCTCAAGAGGATGTTGAGGAGTCCATACTCCAAAAGGGGAAAAAACATAAACAAACAAAAGTGATTGCAGTAGGTTGAAATAAATGCTAATATAAGGGGCACAGGGCAGGAAGCCTGGCCAGGTGAGAAAAGGCTGTATGGGTGGTAAATCTTAGCGAGGATGAGGTGGAACTGACAACGAGTAAGAAACTTGGGGCAGCAGGACCAGCCCGTGCAAAGTCACAGAGACGTAACAGAACATTCCTATCAGAGGAGCTACACCTGTTCCATGTTGACTAGAGAGTCCGGAGTGTCTGGAGCAGGAAGAGATGAGTCTGGGAAGATGATCAAACACAAGAGGACAGATGAGGGTAGAGCTTCAGTTTGTAGGTGACGGCACTGCTTTATGCAAGGGATTAAAACAAAACACCCTAATTTTTTAAAACGCACTTGCAGAAATAGCAGTGGGGAGGATAGCTCACAGGGGAGGGGAATGAGGTTGGGAGACCTCAAGTGTAACAATGTCTTTAGGTTTTTCCTGAAGAGAGAGGAGGCTGGCATGGTCTCAGCTAATAGTGTTGGGAAAGGAGAAGGGTGGATTAAAGAGATTCAGGAGGCGACACTGATAGGATTTTAAGGAGGAGATGGGAAGAGCAGAGATTCTGTCATGACACCCTGGGCTCTAGTGAACACTGGTTATGGCGGTTCCATCAACTCAGGCGAATACCTTAGGCAGAAGAGATTTTACAGTGTGGCAAAGGCAGTGACTTCCAGTTTTAAGTTGAATGCGTCTTCTTTGGTGTACAAGATGAATTGGGGATGCTCATGTAGACAGTTGGCTGCAATAATTGGGATATGGAAGAAACACAGGAGATTAAAATATATACTTGAAAGCCATTGTGTTTTGGACATAGTCATGGATATGCCCAGATTGTGCAGAATCACAGAAGGAACAGAGTGGAAGCTCAGAGAACTGAACAAGTGCAGCCCACAGGAGAAATAGCATGTTCAGTTCAGTCACTCAGTCGTGCCTGATTCTTTGTGACTTCAGCACACCACATCTCCCTGTCCATCACCAGCTACCAGAGATTACTCAAATTCATGTCCATTGAGTCGATGATGCCATCCAACCATCTCATCCTCTGTCGTCCCCTTCTTCTCCTGCGTTCAATCTTTCCCAGCATCAGGATCTTTTCCAATGAGTCAGCTCTTCCCATCAGGTGGCCAAAGTATTGGAGTTTCAGCTTCAGCATCAGTCCTTCCAATGAATATTCAGGATTGATTTCCTTTAGAGTTGACTGGTTTGATCTCCTTGCAGTCCAAGGGACTCTCAAGAGTCT